ATAATGGTGGGGGATATGATTTGGTTGCGGACATTATTGTTAATTTGTTATAATAAGTCTCAACAACAATAATTTCACGACAATTATGTCCCTAATAAGAGTACATGGATAGGTCTTATTGGAAATATGTCAACGGTGTGCTTAAAGCAAAAGCAACGATAATATTTAATTTTGGGATTCATTGGTGGACTCGGATTCTCTTTGGAGCAATTGGATTATCTTTATATATATATATATATATCATCAAATTAGATAAACATAATATCAGTGTTGGCTTCACTACATTTGTCCGTTTTTGACTATGATATATTTTTCTTTCTTGAAAATGTAGCGAATAATATATAGTCCACTAAAATGTAAGCGGAATCCGATTTAAAATTGATAATATATAATTTTTTCAATCAAATTAATTGAATATTGACCGAAATGTAAACTACAAATTATGTTATTTTTTTAATTAATAAAAATTAAATAAAAAAGTGATTGGAATCAAATATAAATAAAATGAAACCGAGACGAAAATTGACATGAAACTAAAAATTCAAATTAAAACCCGAAAAGCCCATGTCACGTGACTACACGCGAATTCAAATAAACTCCGTATGCATCAAAGACTCAAAATGGGCAAATGTCAAACATGAGGAGATCTTGTGCATTAATTTTAGAATCATTATAATTTTCTAAAAAAAAAAATCCTCCACCCACTGCAATATCCATCCATCTGTGATAACTGTTAGGCCCATTAAGGCCCATTAAGACCCACCAAGGCCCAATAGGCCTAGTTCGAATCAGTATGGAAAAAGTCCATTTGGTTCCAAGATACGAAAAAAGTCTGTAATTGGACCTGAAAATTGGGACCCACACATTCACCCACTGGATAGAGAAATTGCGAGGATACAAACCCAAATCCATAAATATTTTTTTAAATCTAAAAATCATATTAACCGGTCACTCTAATTTGAATAATCGAACATAATATTAACCAATCAAATACAAAAGGTGGATGCATGTTTTCAATCGTTTGCACTGGTCGATAATTCGATATACAAAGCGTCTTCATAATTATTATTATTTTTTTCGTTTTTGGTTTAGGGTTTCTGAGAATGTAGGTAAATTTAAAGGAAAAGTCAATTGCTCAAAGACCTAAGAGTAGAAGAAGATGACGATACGTATGGAATCGAATTATATCATCTTTGCCAAAAACATTTAGAACAACCAAATCTGTAACGACAACGACGTTGTCTGGTTATTGTTGGACACCGAGTTAATGTTGTCAAGTGGCAATAAATTGGGTCCATGTTAACTGTGACGTATTGGGTTTAAGTTTAAAATGAAATATATTCGTCACATCCATACATCATCACGCCTAATTGTTGCGAAACATTTAGGTTAATTATACATAGTTAATGTAACATCATTTGGTACTCATATCGCACATGGATTATCGTGCAAATTTAAATCGATCATCAACAATAATAGACATGTGTTTATGAAAAGGAAAAGAAATTAAGAATTATCTTGTGAAATTACAAGGTATATCCATACGCATGTTCATGGTCCCCGTCACGATCCTTTTCCTATACATTTATAATTTGACCATTCCTTGTCCTTTGTTTTTTCTCTCCATGCAGCTATCTCTATACACATGTGCATGAATGCGTAGCATATACGTCTACGTATACGTACACGCAAGTCAGAAATTTCCCACGGACAACATCAACAATTAATTAGCGGTATGGATGGTACGCACGGAAAGTTTGGACGTCCTCCATGAACACCGTATAATACATGATGGAATACTATATATACATAACGGGAGAAATGTATCAAAATAATTTACGAAGTATTATTGTATGACAGGACCGTCTTAGAACATGTGCAACTGGAGCATTTGTACAGGGTCCACAACTTGGGTGTGGTCCACAATTTTAAAAAAATTTATTATATTTACAATTTACAAGTATTATTTATTAAAAAAATTTAAAAAATAAATTTTTTAAGTTTTGTTTAATTCACTTAAAAATATTTTTTTACACTTTTTCAAATGAGGTGGGCCCCATTAAAAAATAATTTTTTTTTAATAAATTTATAGTATTTAATATAAAATTAAGATCATTTGTCATAATAATCAATTAATAAATATTTTGAGTTATATATAATCACATATATTAAATTCATAATTTATTTATATTAATATCATTAAATTTTTATTAATTAATATAGTTCATAATTATAATTTTTTTATAAATCTAAAATAAAATCTATATATATTATCCTAGAATAATATTGATCTTTTAACTCCAATTATTAAAAAAATATTTTTTTATATCATATCATTCATTTTAAATATTTATTTTTAAAAATGATAAATCTTTAAAATATAATTTTTTATATCTTTTAATCTTATATTATGATTATTTATTATTTCTAATAATATTATTATTATCACAATTATTGTTATTAATATTTTAATAATATTT